ATGGTTTTTTTAAAAAAAAAAACAATATTAAAAATTAAAAATACTCAAATACTTCAATCATCCAAATATTCAAAGTATCAAACTAGTTTACGAGTGTATATATGTCATATTATATATATTCACACACACACACACACACACACACACACACACACACACACACACACACACACACACACACACACACACACACACACACACACACACATATATATATATATATATATATATATATATATATATATATATATATATATATATATATATATATATATATATATAAAATAAATAGGCCGAGCCGATCGGGTTAACTCGACCGAAATGGACTAGTTAACTCGACTAACTTAGACGTTAGGCGGCCAAATCAGCCGAGTTAGGCATAGGCGGCCGGTAACCTAGGCGGGCGCCTAGGGGGGAAATCGCCACGGTCTAGAAGCGCCTAGGCGGGCGCCTAGATCGATTTTTACAACCCGGCTTTTCTCCTACTTGGCACACAAAAAGCCTCAACAAATGAGATTGCTCTAAGAGCATCTCCATTACTGATTTTTGAGGAAGTAATACTTATGTGGAGGAGAGACGGAGATGTGAGAGAAAAAAATGGGTATTTGCTGAAGGAGCTTGGTTTGTGTCAGATCTGTGGACACCACCAAGAATGTAACAATTAAAGCTGCCTCGCGTGAGGCGCTAAGGCTGGGCGCGTGTGCGTAAATCTTTATTTTAATTTTTGTTCTTCCCCTCTCATTTTCTCTTTCTTAGTTACACATGTAAAAACTGTTCAAAAAATTGCAACTATTGGAGATGCACTAAAGACACAACTCCACCAACAGGGCTGACCAATAACATCTTGGAGCTGGGGTTCCCTAGATAGGAGGTTGGACTTCTCAAATTAGCGGAAGTGTAAATATTGATCTCTTATGTGCAGAGTTAACTCTATTAACTCTTTACTAGGATTATGAGAGTTTAGTATTAGTCTAGTGAAAATTAGAACTTAAATGCATTAAAAATATATATATATATAACAAGTAGAATTTGTTTTTTAGGTTTTTTTTTTTTTTTTTTTTTCGATTTAGGAATCTCTTTGTGTAATGCGTAGGAAATAACAACACTTCCGTAGTTGCTCAAAAAAAAAAAAAAAACAACACTTCCGTAGTGGTGATAAGACGGCGGCCGGCCAAAGAAAGGGACCCACCGCAATGCGGAGCCGCGCTTTCGATCCCCATGTGTGCGCCCAAGTGGGCCCTTCTATTATCTCCATCTCCATGTACCAATCACTCGTGGCAATCAACTATTCCAAGAATCCGAGATGCATCTCAATTAATTGAACATTTGTGTATAAGCAAATAGATACAAGTGGAATAGTTTTTTTTTTTTTTTTTTTTTTTTCTTAAGAAAGTAGAATAGTATTACTAAGAGTCTATGATTGTATTGTTATGATTTTGAGTACAAATTTATAATGTGTCCCTCTTATTGTTATATGGGTTCGATTTTTATATTATTGGCCACTAAATATAACAAATTATAATAATGAGCACAATAGCCTCTTAATAAGTACAAATGACTCTCCTTAATAAGTGTCATGACTCCTTAATAATTGTTATACACTCTATTAAGGGGTAAAATGACTGAAATATGAAAAAATAAATATGTATTTTCAAAATTATGAAGTTGTTAAAAGTTGGACAAAAATATGAAAAAGACATTTGAAAACTGCGTTTGATGTCCGAATTGGTCAAACACAAACGCAAGTCCCACTTGCGTTTTTTTTATTTTTTTGGTCGTCGGCGACACCCATTTTGGTCACCGGTTTCTCAGCGAAGGAAAGACGATGGTGGAACAGATCAGATCAGAGCTGACCAGTAGAGCAGAAGCAAACGAGATTGAATACGGAAGGGATAGATGTTACAAATGCATATCCGAGTGGATTAACAACAACAACCGTAAAGATTTTATCTTTAAAATCCTTGTGTGGTTTGAACCACTCCCGAAAAATGGATATATGATTTCTCCGCCCAAACCCTTGACGCTGAACCTTAGTCCTCATCATCTTTATCATCTTCCACACTCAGACAAAAGACATGAGCCTCCTCCTCCTTCAGGCATTCTAAATAGAGCGAGTGGATTCAACCTTTAGGGGGGAAGGGGAAGGAGTGAGCAAAGCCGCAAGAGAAACCGTCGCTGAGGAACCGGTGACCAAAACGGGTGTCGCTGGCAGAAAAGCTGTTGGTTGCCGGCGACCAAATTTTTTTTTTTTTTTTTTAACACAAATGCAAGTCCCACTTACGTTTGTATTTGACCAATTCTGACATCAAACGCATTTCCCAAAAATTTTTTTTTTTCATATTTTTGTCCAACTTTCAACAGCTTCATAATTTTAGAAATACATATTTGTTTTTTCATATTTCAAGTCATTTTCCCCTCTATTAAGTGCATTGACTCTGCACTCAACTATTACACTTGCTTTCTGCTCAACTCTTAATTGTTACGGAGTAATATTTGACTGCTTAATTATTTTGACGGTTCCAAATTAGACTAAGAGTGCTTCAAGTCGGCTCCAGTAATTTATCCAATTTATCCTGTCAATTATGTTTTACTAATAATCGTAAAGTACATACTTTGAATTTTTATCGAGAGCACATATAATTTTGATCATATTGTAACACTGACACTTTAGGAAACATGCAAATTGTAAAGGCACATTCAAGAAAAGAGCACAGGGGAGCGCTTGGGTTTGGATGTAAATATGAAATAATTTTAAGACAACCTATTACAATTTTTAATTGATTATGCAATATAGTTCACAATTTTCAAATTTAGTCAAATGTGAGCTCTCAGTTATTTATGATATGGTATCGTAAATTAGTGTCCAAATTGTAAATATAGTTAAGTTAGTTCTTTAATTTTTTTTATTTTTTTTTATTTTTTTGGTGTCAACCATACGTTGTGGTTCGGATCTTTCGCTGTTTGTTTAACGGTCCAGGTCCACCCAATGACTACATTCATCTAAAAAAATTAAGGCACTACATTCATTATATTTATAACTCAATGACTATATTTTTACAATACCATAACTAATTAATATATTATATTGGCTGAATTTGATAAGATCTATTTTCACTTTTGGTCCCCCAACTATATTACATCTTTCACGTTTAGTTTGTGCCTATCAAATTTTTTTATATTTGGTGCATGACTATGAAATTCTTACCACATTGACATTTTCAATCATTTAAAAAAAAAAATCAAACTTAGGTGAAATATCCTACTAATTATTTTTATAGAATACAAAATTACAATTAAAATTAAAATTATAATTTTGTATGGTTAATATAATCTCTAATTATATCCATATTCAAATAAACTTATAGAGATAATTTACATAATTACATTGATTTATTTTTAATTGTATTTCATCTATATTATAATTTTCACAATACAAATAATAACTAAGATAATTACATTTGGAAAGCAAATTTCAAATTTTGTATGTGTAAATTTAAACTCTAATTGAACACATTTTTTATATGATTATATAATATATAGCTATTTTATTTTTCAAAAGTATATTTTTTATATGATTATATAATATATAGCTATTTTATTTTTTAAATGTTGTGTTTTTTTTTAATAATAAAGAATGTTGTGGCATTAATTGTAACATTAATTATTTCCCAAACCATATAGCTTTATTATATAAAGGATGCCATGTAATCGTAACCGGGTCATGTCAACGGAACTGGGTGGTAACCTGTAAAAAAATCTAATCGAACAAATTTAGAGGGTAAGTGTGCCTGATTACAATATATTTTAAATGGTGGGGGGAATTGAACACTTCGAAATAGTAGATGAGCCTATTTGACACTTGTGCCAAAAAAGTTTAATTTTAGATGACGAAATATAACAATAATTTGATTTGTCATGCATTAATTAAAATGGTAAAACCCACTTAAAAATGAGGACTAAATTGTATAATGACTAATAATTAATTGACTCTAAAGTGTGATTATTATATCTTAATTTAACTAAATAAAAATCAAATCCCAGTGCATCATCAACAAATGAATTTGCCTTTAGGACAATGGTCAGTGGTTGAGAAACTTGCAATAAACAATGAGGAGAATGAGGTTGGAAAAAGGCTCTGATTGGGTTGACTGTATTCCTCTGCACAAAAGTGTATAGTTCGATATTAAGGAACTTTGACCAATCAATGATGGTGATTGGTGAATATTTATTTATGCGCACAAATGTACAGACGACCTAGCCTAAAACACTTGCATAATTTAATATTTATCTCCTTTATGAATATTAAAACGGATCCATAGCGTCTATAATATAGTTTGCCAAGTTATAAAATGTGAGTTAAAAAAAAAAAAAAGAAAATGAATTTTTTTACTTTTTGAAATACATATATAATACATTAATACTGCATATTCAAATTATAGGAAGTGCGTAGATTTATCGTTGAATTTACTTATTAAACTTGAATTGGTTGTGACAACCTTGCAGTATAATAATGATTCGATTCCTCCCATTCAGTCGTTTTAGGTTGATGTCTGAATCAACAGTGACAACCTTGCAATAATGACTCTGGTCCATTTTAAGGTGAACACATCCAAGGATTATATTTTGTAACAAAGATGTTAAATTATGTTTATATATTTATTAAAACCAACAATATATAACATATTTTGCCAAGCCTATTCCATCAAGTCACTCTTGGCATCATTATAATTTGGGATAATGTATAAGGCTTGAGTCAAATTTGTATAGGCACGAATTAGTTGTTTTGTAATTAGGGTTTGAATTTGTATCAAATTGGTATCAATGCTACACATCTATAAGTTGGGTGCACGCTACACAATTACTTATAAGTATAAAACAAAAATTTATATATTCACTACACAATTACTTATAAAAATCTAAAAATTTTCATACAGATTTCCTAGCAGAACTTGACATTACACTTTAGCTTCTTTTTTTCTTTTTCTTTTTTCTTTTACATATTGCAAACAAGTTCATACAAAATCCAGCCTCCAAAATGGGGCGCACAACTACACGTGGTAGAATAATGCATACTGACATGGTCCACACGTGCCATCAGTGCCCGTACTGACACGGACCACACGTGCCATATCCATATCCAAGAACACAGTCTCACACGTCACACCGCCGTGAGTCCGTGACGACGGCCACCGTTACCGCCACCGACAAGTCATTAAAAAAGGGAAAAAAATAATATAAAAAATATGCCTAATTCACAAAGCTTTCACCTAATCAACGGCTGGTGGAGAGCTAGAGAGGTTGTATCGGCTCTTGGTATTCACATCCAACGGTTGTCATTAATCCTTCTTACTATTTTTTTTTTCTTTTCTAAAATGAACAAAAAAGGGTTTTGACGGAAAAAAACGGTTTACTCTCGACGCCGGGCGGTTCACAAAGTTTCCGGTGGAGGAAGGTTGAGATCGAGATCTAAAATTAGGCCGTCTTTGTTAGGTTTGAGATCGCGGTTGGTTTCGACGACGGAGGAGGAGTCGGACTCGCTCTGAGCAACGCCGCTTCCGGTGCTGCCGGCGCCGCCGCCGTCGTGAAAATTGGGAGACGAGAATCGGGGGTTGAGGGAAGGCGAAATTGCGCCGGCACGCGCGAGGGCGTTGAAATAGAACACGTGGCTGGCCGGATGCACGGCGGCGGCGGCGGCGGGCGGGTATCCACTCACGACGACCGGCGCGACGCGGAGGTGACGGCTCTGGTACGGAAGGTTCACCGCGGAGAATCCGCCGCCGCCGCCGACGTTGAGATCCAACAGCGACGACGAGTCGACCAACACGGCCGGCGAGAACCGCCCCCCGCCGTCGCGGCTGGACGATTCCACGGTGCTACTCTGGCTGGGACTGTGGTGGTTGCTATTCCTCCCTCCTCCTCCTCCTCCTCCGCCGCCGCATCCGCCGCCGTCCTTCTCGCACGCATTCCTGTTCATATCAAACCTCGCGCAGAAATCGAGCGGAATCCGCTCCTCCGCCAACGGAAAATTCGTTTTCGCCTTGGCGCCGCGGAACTCCCGCGCGGCATTATCGTAAGCCCTAGCCGCCTCCTCCGCCGTATCAAACGTCCCGAGCCAAACGCGGCTTTTCTTCCCGGGATCTCTGATCTCCGCCGCGTACCTCCCCCACGGCCTCTTCCTCACTCCCCTGTAATGCACCTGCTCTTTCCGCACTCCATTCACGTTGCAGTCCACCGCCGGAACCGCCACCGCCACCGCCGCCCCCTTATCCTTCGGAGCCATTAAACTCGACCCCGCGTGAATTTTTAATTATAAAATATTTACAGAAAATTAAAAACTCTTTAATTAATTGCTTCAGAGAGAACAGACTGAAACGTAAGAAAACTTTAAGGTACGGCTGAGAGAAGAAAGTGGAGAGCCGCTGAATATATAGGAGGAGTCAAACGTGGCGTTGACTGCTCCACTTCCTGCTGGGGCCCTTAAGGTTACGTGGCATTCCCACCTTGTATAGCCATGCTGAGAGAGGGGTGTATCATTTAATTGGAGCCTTGTAACATTTTTTAATAATAATAATAAAATCATAATATTTGAAATGAGTTTTAGAATTTAAACTTTTGTGTATTCAAATATTCAATAACGTTTTTAGGAAAGTATTTAATGAGTTCAATCAAGACTCGACTTAATTGCACTTCTATTCTTCTGAAAAAAGGTGAGATCGTTCACTCCAGTCCCTAGATGTTCCTTTTGAATTGTAGAGGGGTAACTCAGGATGACAAACACTATCTTTAGTCTATTATGATAAATTTTACCTTTGTGACCAGTTGAAATGCTCATTACTCTATTACTCTATTCTTATATAATACTTTTATATCAAAATGTAAAAGTATGACATTTGTCCTCAAAAGTATTATGTTATTCCATATAAGTAATGAACATTTTATGCCCGCATGGGCAGCTCAATTCATCATAGATTGTATTACAGTATTTTATAATAATATGAGAATAGAATTTTAACGCAGAATTATTGTACGAATGGGAAAGTAGAAATCAATATTATTTTATTAGGAGGAGAGATTTTTTAGGAATTGGGCGGGAAGTTAAAATTTCAGGATTTTGTTTTTATATATAGTATAGTATAGATTGTATTACAGTATTTTATAATAATATGAGAATATAATTTTAACGCAGAATTATTGTACGAATGGGAAAGTAGAAATCAATATTATTTTATTAGGAGGAGAGATTTTTTAGGAATTGGGCGGGAAGTTAAAATTTCAGGATTTTGTTTTTATATATAGTATAGTATAGATTGTATTACAGTATTTTATAATAATATGAGAATAGAATTTTAACGCAGAATTATTGTACGAATGGGAAAGTAGAAATCAATATTATTTTATTAGGAGGAGAGATTTTTTAGGAATTGGGCGGGAAGTTAAAATTTCAGGATTTTGTTTTTATATATAGTACTAGTTTTTTATGGGATAATGCCCAATGTTTTTTTTAATAAGTACTTTAAAGTATATCAAGGCAATATTATATTAGAATTGTTCATGCATAGATAATTGAATGTTAAATTTGCGTATTTAAATATGCAATTCTTTTTTTACAAATGCAAGATAATATAGTCAATATTGATTATAATTGTCAATAAAATAATTGTATAGGTATGGTTGAAACCAAATACGGCACAAAGGGAGAGCAAATAAAAATTAGGGCATAAAATATTAAATATATACTAATATTGAAGATCTAACTGCTGATTGCCAAACAAGGACATTGCGAGATAGTTTCTCACTTCAATTTGTTGTGTAATTTGAATACTCTTTTTGTCAATAAATCCCCAAAGTAGTTAATATGATTGACTTAATTTTATTTTTATTTATTTTTTTATTTTTTAAAAACAATTATTATTATTATTATTATTATTATTATTATTATTATTATTATTATTATTATTATTATTATTATTATTATTATTATTATTATTATTATTATTATTATTATTATACCCTTAGGTCATTTTACATGTTAATTTAAACAATTAATTTTTTCAAATATCTTTTTACCATCCGTTGATATAATTTGCTGGTCAAATTTGCTAATATAATCCGCTAACGCTAACCGCTAACTGCTGATTATCAAACAAGGACATTGCGAGATAATTCTCACTTCAATTTGTTGTGTGATTTGAATACTCTCTTTGTCAACAAATCCCTCAAGTAGTTAATATGATTGACTTTATTAATTATATTTTTTTTAATTTTTTCATGGTATTAATAAAATACTTGGTAAATAAATACATAGCATTCTTTTGTATTATAACTTTGATATTTAATTAAAAAATAGTGCACAAAAAAGATAATAGACAATGTAGTGAATATAATCAATTGATGAATTTGAATGTAAAGAATTTTTACATTGGAGAAATATAAAGATAATATAACTAATAAAATTATTTCTCTTAATTAAGTAATTGATAATGAATAATTTTTTTTAATAAAGACATTGTAGGACAATGTGGCGAATATAATGAATTGATAAATTTGAATGTAAAAATTTTTTGTATTAGAGAAAAATAAATACAATATAACTTATGAAATTATTTCTCTTATTTAATTTATTGATAATGAATAATTTTTTTGAATAAAGACATTGTAGACACATAATTCTAAATTAAAGAAATGCATATGTATTATTTTTTGGTGTAGCTACTAAATTATTATTATAATTTAATAAAAGTAAAATAGAGTACTAATTGTCTAACTATGCCAACTTTGATTGGGATGAGGTTCGAACCTAAGACCTTTCTTATTAAAATCAATGAGTAAGTTAACGGTGAACTAACAGAAATTAACGGAAAATATAATATTTAACGGAAAAGTTAACGGATAATCATACTCATTAAGGATAAATTAGGAAATCTTAAGGAAAAATTAAAATCTGATCAATCTGAGACATTCATTTGATTAAAAAATTTGACCGCCATTTTTTTTTACCCATTATAGGCCTAACTCTCTTGGACTCTTATTAGTATAGTAGATTATTAGTATAGTAGATAGAAGTATAGATTGTATTACAGTATTTTATAATAATATGAGAATATAATTTTAACGCAGAATTATTGTACGAATGGGAAAGTAGAAATCAATATATTTTATTAGGAGGAGAGATTTTTTAGGAATTGGGCGGGAAGTTAAAATTTCAGGATTTTGTTTTTATATATAGTATAGATTATTATTAATGTTGTTAACACTATTTATTCCGATATGGATATTAGAAAATATCTATCTATGTATGTTATAAATGTCACTTTAGTTAATTTAAAACAATAATTAATTTTAGCATATTTGTACAATATATAATATTAACAACATAAATTAGATTGAGGGTAGGATTGTTTTTACAATACATAGATAATAGAGATAAAAATGATGCATATTTATTAGGGAAAATGGTCAAATAAGTCCCTGAACATTATACAAGGAGTCAATTAGGCTCCTAAATTTTTATAAGAAGTAATTAAACACATCAACTTTTAACTTTGGTGCAATTAGATCCAAAAACTGAATATTTACCTGTAATTGCAAGTAACTTATTATGTGGCATCCTACATGCATGTCATTTTTATTTTTAAAAAATAATATTTCATTTTTTAAAAAATTAACAACTAAAAAAAAAAAAAAAAGAAACTTACTCGTCAAAGGCAGCCATGGCCGGCTCCATGGCTGCCTTCCTCCTCCTTCTTCCTCTCCAAATCTGGAGACGATGAAGGGTTCTCTTTCCCTTCTTTGCCTCCAGATCTGAAGACGAAGAAGGAAATGATTGTTATTTAAAAAAAAAAAAAAAAAAAAAAAAAAGAGGTTGAAGCTGGAAGGCAGCCATGGCCGACAGCCATAGCTGCCTTATTACGTGTTCCTTCTTTGTCTCCAAATTTGGAGATGAAGAAGGGTCTTCTTTCATTTCTTCGTCTCCAGACGAAGAAGGGAAAGATTTACAAAAAAAAAAAAAAAAAAAAGGTTGCTCGGCCATGGCTGCCTTGTTCTTCTCTCCTTCTTCGTCTCCATATTTGGAGACGAAGAAGGGAAATATATTAGAAAAAAAAAAGACCTTCTTCTTCTCTGGCCGCCGGCACGGCTAACCGGCGCATGACTTCATTATGGGAAATGTTTATTTATTATTATTATTATTTATTTTGATTTTTTAATTTTAATAATTTTTTTTTAAAGTTTGCATACGTGGCAAGCTCAAATGATGTCACATAAAAGGTTACCTGCAATTACAGGTAAATATTAGATTTTTAGATCTAATTGCACGAAAGTCAAAAGTTTGATGTGTTTAATTGTTACCTATAAAAGTTCAAGGGCCTAATTGCCTCCTTGTATAATGTTCATGGACTTATTTGACCATTTTCCCTATTTATTTTTGGTAAGGTACAATTAGGCTTTGTAAGGTTGAGTACAAATTGATTAGGATAAGTGTCAATATAGTGTGGTTAAACATCTCTGGTCAATTACAATAATAAACTAGTGCAAGTAATGAATAAATGATATGTTTGTACGTAATGAAGATGGTCTAGATTCTTAGGTCTCCAGTGTTGTAAGCGTAAATTATCTTGTATGACTCTGAGTTGGCTAGTATATTTTTTGAAAACCATCCAAACTTGAATCGATTAAGAAAAAAAGCTAAACTTAGACGGTTAGACCTATTGTTTGGATTCAATATACAAAATAATAAAGTAATGGCTAGGTTTGCAAGAAATTAAGTACGAAATCAATACCAACATCTACTATTTATACAGTATAATACCTAGAGAAAACAACGATTAGCCGAACAAGATAACTAAGCTTTCCAGTTTCAAGATGATTTCTCATATTTTGTGTAGCACAATAGCGGTGATGGCTCAAGGTGTGAACATGCACCTTTCGCCTTTAATGATGTTTGAAGCGTGCAATAGAACAAGCTAAGCTTCCGAATTTGGATCACTCTATTAGCTATTAATATGTATTTAAATTGGGCCAGATATATGGGGGTTTGGTAAATAGGTGTTAGCTGATTGAGTTAGTGCATTTAACTAGTTGATAGCATTTGATGATTGTAGGAAGCTGCTTTGAACAACTTTTTAAATTTTAGTATTTTGGAACAATAAACTGTTACAAAAAGCTAAATAATCAAACACTTATATTTGTTGTGTAATCAAGTCAAATAACTAATAGTTATCAAATAAGTCAAAATTGACTGATAAGCTAACAATGTTACCAAACAGGGCCATAATCATCCAAACATCTTATACAAGAAAATTTGTTTATACTAATAAGTTACTTGTGAATTAGGTGATCTTATTACAAGGTTTTAAAAAATAAATAACGAGATATTTTAAAAGAAACTTGATTAATAATCAAACATGCAAATGGACAA